CGTGAAGAAAAGCTATGCAGGCTTGGAAGTTCACGCGCTTGGTTTAGGGGTACAGACAGCGGCTGTCTGGTCGAAACCGAAACCATGCCATTACGCTCCGTGGCGAGCTGGTTCCTAGCGTGCAACGTGCAAATGTTTGCATGGAGGGATTTTTGAAAATGGCCTTCCACCTCCACCTTCCCAAACCTTTTATCTTTTTGCAGCAGAGCTGTTAAAGGCTAGTTTTCCCAGTTTCGTGTACGTCACCAATGTCGACACAAAACTCTGGACAGCTACCGCCATCTATGCGCGACGGCGGCAACCTGCCAGCCCTTGGTTGCTGCCGTTGCTCATAGATGGCGGCAACCTTCCCACTCTGGTTTTCACTAGAGTCACTAAATAAAGCTATGCTTTCAGAGTACCGAAACTCCCAAACTACGTGTCTGAAGCGCGGTAGGTGCCACCATCTTGGGTCCACACGCAGATGGAGTGACTGTAGCTGAGCCAAGCCGAGCTGTAGCCGTTGCCTGCGCCAGCTGCCGTAGCCGCAACTGTGGCAGCGAATCAAAATCGTGTTGTTCGTATCTCGACGTAAGAAGGAAAAAATGCATGCTGAGCGACGGACTTCAGCGTGCGCGCGCAGTAAAACAGCAGCAGGCAGTGGATCGCTGGACTCAAGATGGTGGTGTTGAAGAAACGCGATGATGATAGCGGCTCCCGTGACTGCCACTGTCCGATGATGCCGCAGTGAAATAGAATATTGTTGAATAGAGCGACTGTATTGTCGGAAAAATGCCAAAGAAAAGGAATGGGGTACTCCGAAAGCGTAGCTTATTTAGTGACTAGTTTTCACCATAGTAGAAAAGCTGAATTTCTCTACCCGTCATCCTAGAAGTCATCCTTGAGGTCATCCTAGACGTCGTCTTTGAAGTCAACCGAGAGGTTCTCCTCGAGGTCGTCCTGGAAGTCATCCTTGAAATCATCCTAAACGTCGCCCTTGAGGTCGTCTTAGAAGTCGTCCTTGAGGTCATCCTAGACGTTGTCTCGAGGTCGTCCTAGAAATCGTCCTTGAGGTCATCCTAGACGTTGTCTCGAGGTCGTCCTAGAAGTCATCCTCGAGGTCGTTCTAGACGTCATTCTCTAGGCGTCGTCCTTGAGGTCGTCCCACCATAGTACAGCTTCGCTGGTCCTCCTCCTTCACCAAAGTGGAAAGGCTGAAAGTTTTTTTTTTTCTATGCTTTTATAAATGTTTTTTTGCCTTGAGCAAATCCAGGTTGAAACCTACATCACCTCAAATAAATCGCTGAGCTTTCCCTCTACACTTAGATAAATTGCCTTGAAGAAGTGTTGCAGGATTCTCTTGAGAAAGTCTACAGAGGAAAACAAGTCTAGAAGTTCGGCTTTTGCACACAGGAAGCTCAAACTTTCACCGAATGTGCACCGAGGTGGCTACTCTTACCTTGTGAAATTTCAAGGCACATTTGTTTTACGCTATCAAATGAGACCAACAAGCTTGTCAAAAGCAACAGCAGACATGTTTGTAGACCTATCGGGAGATGGTGCCACAAGTTACTTTCATTGGCAATATGGTCATCCACGAAAATGTCTGCGATTGACTTTGGCAAGTTTATTGGTCTTATTTCTTACAGAAAGAGGACTACGCTTCAAAATTTCGTCAGGTAGAAGTGACCACGTCAATGCACATTTGGTGGACATTTAAGTTCCTTACGTGCAGCCGCCAATTTTTCTGGCTCGTTTTAGAGCACAGGATGGGAGCTTGACTGACTTCGACCTTGCTGGACACATGCATAGTGCAAGCCTCATTGTTTACAGGTTGTAGACCTATCGGGAGATGGTGCCACAAGTTACTTTCATTGGCAATATGGTCGTCCGCGAAAATGTCTGCCATTGACTTTGGCAAGTTTGTTGGTCTTATTTCTTGCAGAAAGAGGACTATGCTTCAAAATTTCGTAAGGTAGAAGTGACCACGTCAATGCACATTTGGTGAACATTTAAGTTTCTTACGTGCAGCCGCCAATTTTTCTGGCTCGTTTTAGAGCACAGGATGGGAGCTTGACTGACTTCGACCTTGCTGGACACATGCATAGTGCAAGCCTCGTTGTTCACAGGCCGCAGGCCAGGGTGGCTACAAGAGCCCCTCCATAGGTGACAGGAGAACACAAGCCCCAACCAAATACCGACGCAGCGTTCGGCTGTCAGTTGAGAACTGTGCCATTGTTCCTGCTACTCCCCAGGGACCATGCATATGAATTCCGGCAAGTGTAAGGCCTTTCACAGATTCCGTGCTTACCAGTCAATGTCACTATGATCAAGCCTGTATATCTTTTTATTTTTTAAACACCGGTGCATTTTGCTTGGACAACTCTTTACAGGGCTAAATATGATGATTATCGAAAAAGAAAAGAGGCTCTGTACCAAGGAGGTTAGAAGTACTAGGAGAGGGCACGTTGCAATATTGGTGAAGCCTAGTCATAAAAAGTTTAACGATGTTGTGGCCAACGTGACCGTAGATCTTTCTGGCGATTGGTGCGCGTGACATGTCACGTGTGAGATGGATGGTTGATTGTAGAAGGACTCCTTGCAGGCTTGCGCGCACTACGTCCGGTAGGTTTTATCAGATCGAAGGCTAGATTGTGGTGTATTCTAGTACTACCCCATAGCTAGACGAACGCCAGCTATGGTCATGCGATGTGGTCACGTTGGTGTAGTAAGTGAGGAGAGTAAGGAGGAAAATGAGAAAGAGGCGTGGCGTCAAGGGAGCATGGCTTGTGGAGGCTACGCGGCTGGCGTCATGCCCTCTCCTACCCTTCTATCCTCCTTGCTCTGTACACCTTCAGTCAACATGAATAAATGCTGCCACAGCGAGAGTAATTGAGGTTCTTTGAGTAATTGAGGTTCATTGTTTTGAAAGGATCTCGATGGGCACAACAAATGTTGAAAATGTTTTCTTTGTAGCCATAGCACCAACTTCAGTCCCAGAATCTGCAAAAAGACACAGTTTCATCTTGCTTCTTAGTTTAGTTTTTGTTATCAAAACTTCAGAGAAGACGTGCAGAATCTGCGTTTTTATTGTGGAAATGGCGAATTTCAGAGCACATTGTTCAACTACAAGGTGGACAAAACCTACACTTGTCAGCCCCCTAGCCAAGAGTGGAACAGTTCCAGACAGGGTGACATCAAACCTAACCCATAGTCCTGGAACCCCTTGAAAACTAAACAGATAACAAACAATGCATCTCCATACTCAAGGCAAAGAGACACATTCTCTAAGGTCAGTGGCCGTGAACCAGACTGATGTTGGCAGTGTCTTCCAAGAACTACAGTGACCACTGAATAGACACTGGAAGACTGCAGGATACACGAGGTGTTTCTCTAACCACTACCGGGGAGGAATCTCAAAGAAAATGGTCATCACTAGAGCGGAATCATTCAACGGGTGTTCTTCTGTTTTAATCTGTTCTAAAATATTCAACCACCGGTGTTCCTCGGTTTTAACCGATTACATATTTTCATCACTGGTGGATGTTTATCAGTGTTTGTCCGTAAAACTGAAAAGTTCACAGCCTACGGATAACGTAGGTACTGAATAATGTGGTACCCTGACTCGCCCTGAGTGATGACGATGTTGGGCTTGTAGAAGACTATGCTAAAAACGTGTGCACCTGAACGATAATCTCTTATCACTGTACCGTAATATCCTGAGATATCCCTCCTAAAATTGAGACCAAATCAAGTGAAAATAAGGATGCTGTTCTTTGCATAATAACAACCACAGTTCATGAATTCTGGTGAAAGAGGTAAGAAGCGCAATTCCAACCCTCAGGAACACGTGCACTCTGCAACAAAATATGGCAGTCACATACAGTGATGGATGAAAAGGATGATGTTCCATTTAAGAATACATAATTACGAAGTTTTGCTAAGGAGTGAAAGTGCAATGAAGTTGGTTCAAATTTCCTAAACTCCCAAGTCTCCTTTTCATACCTTCTGTCAAGGCAGCAGTATATTGACATGCATTAAGGGGGGACACTGGCTAGAGGTCGAACTTCTTAACTACTCAAGTGATTGGAATGAAATTTAGAGAGGAGATTTAACGTCAGATGTAGGTGTATTGTGTAAACTTTCAGCTCTCCAGGACAACTTTACATACCTGCATAAGAAGATGTGTCACTCTTTGTTAAGAAATCTATGATATGCAAATGAAGCTATTAAGCACCATTTTGACTGCTAGAATATAAAGTGGGGGATGTGGCACTTCGGGCTATCTAGTTTTTATAACTCAAATGTAAATATTTCAGGAAGAGTGATTACCTCAAAATATGAGATGCAAATCTGTCCTATGTCAATTTTTGAAAACATAGCTTTTTATCACTGAGGACTTTAACTTAAAACAAAATAAAGTAGATAGCCTGATTCCCCAGTAAATTTCAGTTTAGAGACATCTTGATTGTGGTATCAGAATAATTTTACCTTCGAACAAAAGATTCCTTCGTATGAAATTTGCAGCAAAAAGCGGAACTGAGAAAAATGCACTGAAACATTGAACTTCTTTACTTTGTTAGTGCCCTACAATGTGTTGAAAATATTTTATATCAGCGAAACTATTTGCCGCATGGTTATGAAATTTAATGTAAGGGTGTTTGATTAGTTTCTAAAACCGAAAACCTAAAAATTGAAAAATGAATTTTTTCAAAAAAATAAAAAGTTTAGGCCCATGTCCCCCCTTAAACAGCACTAGTAAAAGCCTGTCACCTCACACCCAAACCTCCTGGAAGGCAGGAATAGGGCCATTGTTACCACCGGTAGCACGAACTGCCACTGCTGCGGTGTGCACGTCCACTTGGTAGTCACTTTCTTGGGAACGAAACTGTTACAGTGAGGTCCCAGCATGGCACAAGGTGGCAAACTAGAATCTTTCATAAGGAGCTACTCTTCCAGTGGCACATTTACTTCAACGTAAACCTGGAATGGCTAAAAAAAAAATATAAGAACACTGTGGAAGCTGGGTCCGCCAATTTTTATTTTAAAGATACAGTCAAAAAGAAGCCTGATTCCACATTTTTCATTTGCAAATTTTGTTCAGAGACAAACAAGGTGAGCATAATAAACAATTAATCAAACCAAACTGGAGCTCTGTTTACAAATGTATTACAAAATTCAATAATAAGCACACATTACGCAAAAACACATTGTATTCTGTAACCCAAGCAGAATGATGGCTGAATTTGTATTCTTTGAGATTTAGCTGCTCTGACCCATCTCATCCTGTTGCAAAAATATCAGAATCTTTGCCATTAGAGAAGCATAGAAACAAACTACTATCCTGCATAATACAAAAAGAGCAAAATGCATAGCCTGATATACCCTGATGCCTACAATCCAAGACCTTTGACAAAGGGGGACAGGCAACGTGGAAACAACTCTTGAGAACAAAAACACGGAGCAACAAAATTTAGCGAGCACTGAAACACTACAGACGATAATCTCAAAGCAGCTGTCGTATAAATACATAATTACGAAAATTTCTTTGCAGAGAAGAATGGTGAAAACACATCAGGTATGAGTGTGTTAAAGTAAGTTCCAATATCTTTACACCTTTCATCGACACAGTCTTGAAGAGTCATTACATGGTATTAAAAACATGCCCACTGGTACAATGTTAAGTACAAACACATGCTTGCATTTGTATTTACTTTGTACGAGTACAAATGCATGCCTGCGGAGCGGAAACCTATTTTCAACCAGGAAACCCTTTCATCCCTGCTACTCAATAACCCTCCCCAATCCTGGCAAGTTGTTAACCATACTCCATGTTTGCCACTTAACCTTGAAGATGAATCTAAAAATAAAATAGAGGCGCATCAGCGTGCCTCAATTTTAAATGACATGTTCTCTGCTCAGTTCACCATCCCAAGTCCTTTAGCATTGTTACCAACTATTTATTACAGTTTCCCTCGTATGGATCCAATATGTGTTGATTTTGACGGTATTGTGAAAATTATTAAGTCCATAAAAGTGTCTTCATCCTGTGGCATCGACAACATCAACTCTGAAATACTGCAGCGCAGAGTGCGTTCATTGAGCCTTTTTTGAAAGGTCGTTGCGGTCCACAAGAGCGGTAATAAGTCATCTCCCTTAAACCATAGGCCTATCTCTCTTACTTCTGCACCTTCAAGAATACTGGGGGACATAATCCATAAGAATATATCCATTCAACTCAATTCCATTTTGTTTTTTAAAAAGGCACAGCACGGCTTCCGTAGAAACTTCTCTTGTGAAACAGCTTCTCTGCTTAACCCATGACCTTTTTGTAGCGCGAGCTACACTGGCCGAGGTTGAGCAGTTTTGCGTGGCTCCTGGAGAGCCGTGCTGCGCATGCGCGAGGAGGAGTGATGTCACACGGCGCACAGCTGGTGCGCCCGAGCTGCCGCCGCCGTGCGCGCCTCGCCGGTCTGCGCATTTCAGAGGAGTGATGTCATAGCAGCAGCAGACGCACTGGCGCCGCCGCGTGCCCAGCTGTGCGCCTCGGTTGTGCAGTAGCCAAGTCTGACGCTGCACCGGAGCCTCTTGATAGCGCCTCTCATTTTGTGTGCATGCGCACAAGTATCAGTGGGGGTATACATATAGCGGGGCATTTGCCAGAGTGGTATAGCTAAGCTCACGCTATGTATATCCTGGCATAGCCGAGCAAAGCCACTGCAATTTTTTCTAGCCTCAACTCCGGTTTTCCAACCGATGCTGTATTTCTTAACTTTGCTACAAAGTACCGCATAACCAACTGCTACTAAAACTTTAGTTGTTAAAATTTGAAACCAACATACTCTCATGGATTAAATCTTTCCGCTCGCAACGTAACCAGTTTGTTTACGCTAACGACTCTTCATCTGTCTTGGCCCTTGTTACATCCGGTGTACCCCAAGGAACAGTCCTTGGTCCACTACTCTTCCTTATTTACATCAACGACCTTCCACTTCAGGTATCTTCATCAACGCGCTTATTTGTAGATGAGCGTGTCGTTTATTGTAAAATAGCATCTCCCTGCGATTCTGCAGCGCTACAAAATGACCTTGACTCTATTAATAAATCGTGTAGTAATTCGCAAATGTCCCTCAATGTTAGCAAATGTAAACACACGCGCTTCTCTCGTTCCACCTTCCAAACTTCTTCTCTTCTTACTCTTAATGCTGTTCCGCCACAACAAACTGAGACATACAAGTATATTGGTGTTCTTCTAACTAAGAACCTCTCTTGGGACAGTCATATTAATTCAGTGGTGTCTGCTGCAAACCGAAGCCTAGGTTACCTCCGTCGCAACTTCAGATCTGTCCCAAGTAACCTAAAGCGACTCCTTTACATTTCCTTAGTACGATCAAACCTAGAGTATGCATCCTCCATTTGGCACCCTCACCCCTCTTCACTAACAGACAGTATTGAGGCTGTCCAAAACCGTGCTGCCCGGTTAATTCAACCTGACTACTCACGTTTTTCTAGTGTTTCCCAAATTAAATCTGATCTTTCTCTTCGCTTACTAGCTACCCGACGTAAAATGTTTCGTCACTGCCTTTTGCATAAAGTCTATTATTCGCCCCCATTACATCAGACTCTTCTCATTCCACCAACCTATTGATCATCCTAAAAAATAGCCTGGCCGTGATGTTTTTCCCCCAGCAGATCAAAACGCTCTTCTCCCTGACGCGATTGCGAACTGGAATGGCCTTCCCGGTGACACCGCAGCCAATCGAGGACTCCACCACATTTCACGAAGTGATTCAACAATACTGCAACAATACTGTAATACCCACTCCCCTCTCTAACGCTTCCCAGCCCCGAGGGTATTGTAAATAAATAAATAAATAAATAAATTTATTAAGAAACCTCCTGGGTGGTGTGAGAATTTAACTATACCCCGTTTCACGATAACTTGGCGAACTGTGGAGGCTACAGCTCCCGCAACCCAATAGCGTCGGAGCCAGGCACCTGACACCACGTCACGGGAGCATGTGTTTCAGTGCACTAAGGAACCGGCTGTCTGCTGGCAGAGAGTTGTTTCCTGCGAGACCAACCAACTTCGGACGATGGTCCACCGCCTCAACATTGCTGTCCGCTGGAGTAGCGAGCTCTTGGGAACACTTCATGAGACAACCAAATTCAATTGACCCTCTAATCTGTGGCAGTTTCGAGCGCAAGGGCGATGTGTTGAGCGGAAGCGGTCGATTACATGGCTGCGATCGCAAACACTCGCAGTGCTACTTGGAGAAAAAAAAAGAAGCTGATACAGATGTGGTGTCACTTTTTTTTGTTTGAATATATAATTTAAATTTAAATTCAGTCATACATGGAATCGTCAGAGTTCAATTGCCAATTGTTCAATTGAAAAGAAAAAGAAACCTAGAACCACTCTTTTGTCGCCGACGGGGCTCTTGTTGTGGTGGTAACGACGCCTCCGTACCCTCGAACATGGAGTGCTAACATGTGACTTGCTCCGACGCTCTTATTGGGTCGTGGAACCGCAACCCCCCCAGTTTGACAGCATGGTAGCGGATGGATTACTAAGTATGCTGGTAGAGACTATCAGTTTCTCATGGAGACTTTGCAGTTTTGTTTTTCAGCGATAGATGTTCCAGCCGCACAACTTCCATGGAAGGGATTTTTCTTAAGAGATAGATCATTCCAGATTCTGATCTTGCCGATTTAGCCGATGCTGCAGCAGGTCTAATGTCCAGAGGTAACTTTGAACATCTGGCAATGTGAAGCTTCAAACAGATTGCGTTTGGAAATTCATTCTTGGCACAACAAAATCTACACACAGCTGGCCCTTTACCATTCTTGAGAAAATCGAAATCCACCCAAATATTTGAACGGGGTCTCACCATGGCAGTGGAAAGTTCAACCAGATCCAAGCAAACGGTGTTGCTGAGTGGCAAAAACTTAGCGCGTTGAGCCAAAGGGTTTGCAAAACTAAAGTTAGCTAAAGCAATCTACCAGTGGATCGGATTTATTGTTTTGGATTTACCCTTTGAAACAGGTTTCTTCTGCTGACAGTTCACAGATGAGAAACAAAGAATCCGCTAAATTGGCAAACGTTTGTGTTAACGCTAAAACAATAAATTTAATATTACTCTACACTACAAGAATTCGCAAAACACATTGGCTGTTATTGACTTTTGTCGCAATCCTTTAGGTTATTACTGGATTATTCCTGCTCGGACTATTTTCCCAATGTTTCAAAAACTTCCCTAAAATATTTTTCATTTCGTAGTTTGCTTTTGGCTTTCAAAATTTTCAAAATTTCCGAAAATTTTCTATCCATAATCGCAACGACCTTTGGTGATGCCATTCCTTGAGAAGTCGGTAATTGCGGAGGGAGCGCTGGGGGCCGCAAAGACAGAACCCATTGGAAAACCAGGCGATACTCCCAGTGACGTCACTGGAAAGCTGGTGTGAGAGTTGGGAAGCAATTTGACCCTCAATGTTCCATAAAAAAAAAACAGTGTGCAGGACAAAAAATTTTTTTCCATTCCTTGTAGTATTGGTGAAACAGGCAAATTACTGCAATAGACTACTTAGGAAAATCCCTGCATTTAACACAGTGCAAGTTGCTTTGGAGAGGAGTTGCACGGTTTCGATTTCGACTACCCCACTGACGAGGTAGTGCATCTCAGCAGTGCATGAAAATAAAGTCAACACTCAATTGCATTGTGTGCATTCGATAATGAATATTCTGATGGCCTGTGTGCTTTATATTATGGAATTTGAGACTGAAATTCTGAGAAAAGGCTTGAGGGCAGCATTTGCCCTTGAGGGCTTTTCACCCAGGTGTATTCAATTATGGCAGGTCAGACAACTCCTGAGCAAAGGCTTTGGAACACAGCTTGCATTTGTTTCCACACATGTGCATTCCATATACCTTTTAAGTGGAAATTCAAAGAAAAGGGTTAGAAATGTAGCTTGTATTTATAGCTTTTTTTTGCCAGTGTGTGTTTGATTATGGCTCCGCAGATGGGAATCATGAAAAAAGGATTTGGCGCAGATCTTGCACTTATAAGGTTTTTCACCCCTATGTGTTCGATTATGATGACTCAGATTGGAGCTGCTAGAAAATACTCGTGAGCACAGCTTGCACAAATAAGGCTTTTCCCCTGTGTGTGTTCGATTATGGTGCATCAGCGTGAACTTCCGAACATAGACATGGGAATATAACTTGCATTTAAATGGCTTTTCACCAGTGTGCAATTGTTTGTGCTGGGTCAGATTAGTGCTGGAAGCAAAGGCTTAAAAACACAGCTTACACTTGCAAGGTTTTTCACCACTGTGTGTTCGATTATGGAGTTTCAGATAGGAATTCAGAATAAAGGCTTGGGGGCACAGCCTAGATTTATAAGGTTTTTTCAACAGTGTGTTAGATTATGGCGATTCAGATTGTAACTGGTAGTGAAGACTTGTGGGCACAGCATGCAGAAATAAGGCTTTTCACCTGTGTGTGTTCGATTATGACGTATCAGCGAGGACTTTCGAGCACAGGCATGGGAACATAGCTTGCACTTAAATGGTTTTTCACCAGTGTGCAATTTTTTGTGCTGGGTCAGATTAGCAGTGCAAGCAAAGGCCTGGGAACACAGCTTACACTTATAAGGTTTTTCACCACTGTGTGTTCGATTATGAAGTTTCAGATAGGATTTCAGAGTAAAGGCTTGGGGGCACACCCTGCATTTATAAGGTTTTTCATCACTGTGTGTTCGATTGTGGTCTTTCAAATGGGAACTCCGAGCAAAGGCCTGGGGGCACAGCTTACACTTAAAAGGTTTTTCACCACTGTGTGTTCGATTGTGGTTATTTAAATGGGAACTGCAAGCAAAGGCCAGGGGACAAAGCTTGCATTTGAATGGCTTTTTAACTGTGTGTGTTCTACTGTGTTGGATTAGACTGTCATCACCAGCAAAGGCTTGGGGGCACAGCTTACAGTTAGATAAGCTATCACCCCTCTGCATTTGAGTGTTGATGTGCACTTTGGACCTAGAGCTGGAGGACAGGGGATCGTGGCACTTGACTTGATCATCACCGTGGGCAACCAGGTGGCTCACAATTCCATGCTGATCTCCAGTGAAGTAACTGCAGGAACAGCATCTGAACCAGATGTCCTCGGTGGCTTTCAGAAAGCAGCTGGTCTCCCCCAACTGTGCTGCTAGATCACCTAAAATAAAAATACTATGTATATTAGGAGACACAAGGAAAGCCCAACCAAAATAGAAAAATGGTTTAGAAATAAGCACCTATCAATGCACTTAAGTTTTAGCTTTGTGGTTTAATATCTTGCTGCTGTTTTTCGATTCATGAAAGCACTAAAAAAATCACTCCATTGTTTTATTAGCATGAACAGCATTGATACTGTTGAAGTGTGTATTTTTCACTACATGTTGAAGATGTTTGCTTTCTTTGTAGATGGCACACTCTCCTAGTGTGCATTCGACTGTGTGGGCAAATGCATCATTAGAAATTTCAGTCACTGGTTTATGGGGTGAGCGACGATGTCACAAAGACATCCAAAAAATAGTTCAGAAAACTAGAAACCACTTTTCACATTCCAATAGTGTCTGTCAATGAGGTGTGAGGAGACACACTCCTATTACTTCAAGAATCGCTGTTCTGGCTATAACATTTTTTAAAACTTTTTGTCACACTCTGTGAGCCTAACCATATAGTTGCACCACTTTTGATTTGAAGTGGGCTATGTCTTGGGACATCAGGGAAGCTGTTTTTTTGTTTTGATATGGAATTGTCGTATGACTGAAACTATCTTAGTATCATGCTCAATGCACTGATTATGCACATAAACCCTGTTATTGACTTTTTGTTTTTAAATTCCTTTTACCTGAACCTGTAGGTGCAATAACTGCTCTGACTGACTCCCAACTAGCGTTGTACAGAACAGCGCCCCTTTTAGGAGAAACGAAGAAACACCGCCGTTCCATTTTGCATCGTAGGAACTGGAACGGGAACTCGTTCCATTTTTACTGGAATAGAAAAAGGTTCCTTTTTTTTCTGTCCAGTGGGGTAATTTTTATTTTATTTCTAAGAGGTAAATTTTAAAAGTATACAAAACAATATCTTTTACAAAGAGCAGGACCTCAATAACTTTTTGGTTACTTATCTTAGGGCTTATTTTGTGTGGTCCTCACTTGGTAAGAGCCGGGTGTGCAAGAGCTAGTGGACATTGATACTTTTTTCAGTGCTCGAGGCTGCGGTACAAAAAGCTAAACTTCTAGTCAAAGGAAAAAATACAGAAAGAGGGATGTTTTAAACTCTGCAACTTTCTTTGCTTCCACAAATCCTCATACACCCATAAACCTAAGTCTAACTACAGCCATCACTGAACTTTCCAAAAAGAGACCTACAGTTACAACAAGAAAAAACAGGTTACCAGACATCGAACACACCCTAGTATGCCGAACATTGGTCACTTAAAAGATGCACAAAAATTAACCTTTATTCCTTGTCCCCAGGCTTCAAACAAGAAAACAAATCCAACCTTCACAAAGAATGACTTGTAGTTTTCAAGACTGGCCTTCCAACAGTACATTTGGCTTGTCTGAATCCCCCTCAACACATATGAATATGGTTAAAAATTGTGATTGTTAAACGTAAGTATATCAACAAATAAAACTTTACTCCCTCTTGTTTCCTTCTCCTGGTGCCCTTCCATCACTGAATTCAAATTCGGAAGTTGCCATTTGATGATATACATAAAAAAAAAACTGTGTGATTTACTTAGATATGGTGATCAGCAAAAACCAAATGTAACATATATGTAACAATATGCTCCATTTTTTTAACAGTAACGGGAATGAATTTCTATTTCACATATGGAACTTGTGATGGGAACATGTAACATATATGTAACAATATGCTCCATTTTTTTAACAGTAACGGGAATGAATTTCTATTTCACATATGGAACTTGTGATGGGAACACGCTCCAAAAAACTGAAGGAACAAGAAACAATCTTTCGTTCCTTTTTTTTTTTTGAGGAATGTGTACAACACTGCTCCCAACACCCTAAAAATTGGGTATCTGCATTTAAATCTCACATGTTCGTTGAAGATAACTAGAAGTGGCGTTCACGGCTGCAGCACATTGCACTAAACTGCAATTGATGACAAAGTAAAAGAAGTTGGTTATCTGGAAGAAGCGTCACTGAAGAGCATTGGGGCTTCAAGTTCAAACGTGAGGAAGCCTCAGGGGATACCAAACAAGAATTTAAAATATGTGCAAAACATTATTAAATAAGCTGAATAGAATCAATACAGGGTGTTTCATGAAAGGTGGACAAATTCTGTATTGCGAAAACTACACGTCGCAACAAAAAAAGACTCGTGTCGTTTCGGTCCCAGGCCCCTGGCCCAGGACCAAAATGACACAAATCTTTTTTGTTGCGACGCATAGTTTTCGCAATATCGAATTTGTCCACCCTTCGTGAAACACACTGTATATGTTATTGTTAATCACCTGCATGTATTTTGAACGAATGCATATATTTTTTGTTCTAAGGCCACATTCTGGCAAGCGCTTCAATATTAAGTATTAGGGAACACAAGGCATCCGAGATATTCGTCATACTCATGCCATATCGGCTTTGGCAGAGTCAAGCATACTGCAGTTATAAACTTTGCCACTTCGTGGCATCAATAAGTTACATTCTATAGTTAATGTCATCTCAAGAGCCAAAGTAAGAAAAGTCCAGCTAGAGGCAGAGTGTTTCCAATTTTCGCCAATGAAACAGCGATGTGACATATTAGCCCCGAGAAGTTCGCGTGGCGCCCCCTTACGGCGAACCGGGGTGACGTCACGGCGAGGAGAGAATTTTTCCCCGACTCGCGCCGCTCGCCCCGTGGCCTCACCCAATCAGGGCGCAGCGACCGCAACGACGCTTGTGTTCGCTCTCGGGGCTAATAGAGTGCACCACTCTTCGTTGGACGGTGGTGGGTTGCGTATTTTAGTACCAGAACCAAATCAGGGGACTGCCACTGCAGCACTCTCCATTGGAAAAGCTGGAACATTATACTGCTAAATCAAGTCAATATTGTTTATTTCTGTTTGTGAGATAAACATCTGTGGATTGAGACAGAGCTTAATTGAGAAGAACATCCTTGGGTGGAGATGCTTCTTGAGAATATTTCACATGTGGACATTCTGTGTAGCTCACATCTCATACATTCCGAGTTTTTTGCTCATTTTTGCTTGGATCTGCACTTACCCATCGACATAAGCATGCATAAATTGTTTGAAACCAGCTAATCAAAACCCGACTGATTTTGTTTTATTTGTGTTGTTTACAGCAAGAAAAAAATAGCAGAGTAGTTAATCTCATTTACTAAGAGTTTATTTGATTTGTAGAAATATTTGAGATTGTATCTACTGTAAAATCCTGAGTCATCACCCATCCCCGAGTCATCACCCAGACCCCTTTCTGGGAGAATATTAATTTCCAAAAAAACACAGAGTAATCGCCCATTCCTAAATATACTCAACTCGAACTCCACGATCCGCGCAGATTCATCCCACCCAATGATGCAGCCGCAAACGTTACAGTAGGAGGACGTCTGTGACAAATTAAAATGACAGATGGAAAGACACTTCTCTTTGTTTACACATTTCCTCCCCGATTTCTGCGACCCCAAAGTCTGAGTACATGCGTGCGAAAGAAAAACAATGAAGATAACAATGAAAGTTTGTTCTGCTTATAAAAAAATATTGTTTGGAAAACAAATAAAGTTGGAAAGACAACACAAGCAGTGCTTCGATTTTGGGTTCAACGCGACTGAACCCGGATTCCGTTCCTTTTCTTTCCGTGCGCGCTTTGTTCTTTGGCCTGACTTCGTTTTCTCCCCGTTTCACCTGACGCCTGACTTCCTGAGATGGGTGGTTGCCGGGATGTGCCTTGCAGCGAGGCCGAACCAGAGCGCTGTGAATTTCGTGGAGGAAGTCGCCCGGCGCCAAATCGCACCACAATTTAGGACAAAAGATTTTTTAAAAACTTATGATGAAGCTTTTGTACGTCATTTTTTGCCTATCTTCGCGAAAATATTTTGCAGGTTTATCAAATTTCTTTGGTGGCGCCGCTTCATGTTTGTTCAATAAAAGTGGGCTTAAATTACACTGAAAGTATACCAGCAGGAGCATGACATGAAAATGAGTTCGCTGTATCCGTTATTTCACTACTCCTGGGTTCGTTATAAGTGGGTTGTGAACAAACAACTTTATTGGTCATTGTTACGGCACTTCTTTTACTTGCCCGCTCAAGGCTCGATTGTTTTGAAAACTGACCTTGATGTCTACATTCCAATGGCCTATTCTAAAATACTCGGGTTGAGTGGGTCAAATAAAATCTATCGTGTTGGGCGCTGTCCAATTCCATTTTACTCAAAGACAGACTCTATTGACTGATGCACAGTGGAAACAAAACTGGGCTGGGGAGCCACTGTCCTTTGTCGTCGCAACTGTGACTCGAGTCATGCCATTTGATTTTGATGGAGCCGCTACTGAATGCAACTATTGCTCACAAAATGAGTTCTGAAACGTTTGGAACTTAGCACGAGTGTCCAGGTCATTTCATCGCCTCTATGAAGAGGTCACGATACATGCCCCTCGCAGTTTAAAGCGCAACGCGAACTGCAATGTGGAAAACGCCACTCGCAACAATGCACAGGTTGCACCCAAGTCGAGTGGCACTCAGTCTCGTAAGCTTTTGCTTCAAAGTTCTAACCCGTATAACTTTGCACCGGGCGAGTTTTATGTGCATCACTGCATTGAACTACACAGCACGAAATTTGCCCTTTTTGGAGATGCACCTTTCAGTTCGCAAGAACTAGCTCCCTCAGACGCATTCCATGCGGCGTCTGCTTCCAGATTCCAGAGTCCCAACAAAGCCCGTCTGTTTGCCACAAGGGGTGACCTAAGAATGTTTGTAAGTACTCAATCCATTCAACAAAGAAAACAAATCCTTCCACATGCTCATACTTCCAACTACAAATCCTGGTCCTCAGTACCCATTCCCTAAGGGCAATAAGCTCCCCATTTAATTGTCTACAATGTCCTCTATTTTATTATTTTTCCTTGTTCTACATTTCTGGATGGTTTCTTTTACATTCTTGCATTCCACTTTTCTTTTCGAACTTCCTTCACTGTCGTTCTATCCTGCCCATTCATTCTCAGGGCAAGTCCAGAGCCTGGTAGACAGCAATGATGCAACTTTCCTATCTTGTCCCCAGCCTTTTTGTCTATGCACATTTAAAAACAGCCAAGCATCAAAAGCTCATCTGGCCACTGTAGCTGGAAAACACTTTATTGGGACATCAGCCTGGCAACTGTGTGCTTGCCATGGCATGACCTGACCAGCAGACGACCATGACACACACACAAGTGGAGAGATGGCGGCACCTGGAGGCCATACCCACAAACATGCCTAGGAACCCAACATTTCCCTTGCCCAACTTTCATTCTCCACCGCTATGAACCTCTACTGAAATTCCTTCTTTGCTGCTTGCCTCCCTCTTCCTGAAGCCCAACCCACTTCTCCCCCTACATCTACATCTTCATCAGAATCATCATCATAATAATAATACTATTTATTTCAGGCTCAGGAAGCCACAACACAACAGAAAGGCTAGAGCCCATACCATGTAGGCCCACTTTGCTACTGAAACTAGGGTGCTGATGCATGACTTCTGGGCTTTGGGCTCCATTGAGGATGAGTCCCCTAGTGGAGGATCTCAGAATCGGCACGGAACCCTACGGTAGGATTCTATCGACAGCTATAGAAGAAGCGCTGCTCTAGATCAGTGGTTCCAACTTATCTAATTGACATACACACGAGATAATTAACTCGAAAATTGGGACGTTTCTTCTCAATGTGAAAAAAGACAACTCATATTGCCACGAGCGTTGCCGAGCGAGTGCATGCATGGCCGAGGGGTTACCATGCTTGGCTTTCGTGCAGAAGCCCCGGGTTCGATTCTGTATAAGATCCTCTGTCCTCTCTCGGTGTTGGGTGGCGAAGGTCCACTGCAACTTGGCCAGAAAGAAGTCCCTTGAAGTAAATGAAGCCTCGTGGTTCTTGGACCAGTGCCTCGCAGCACCCTCCAGTGAAAAGCAGAGGTTCTGCAGGCACTGCTCCGTGGTCCATCCGTTGCGGTGCGCTGCCCGCTCGTAATATTGGATCCAGTCCTCGTCGTCTTCGATCTCGTTGTGGAAGGGAGTCGGCGTATGAGCAGCGACGGGCAGGTGAACGATGGCAGGGGAAACCGGATTCTGCTGGGACATCGTCGTCGTCTGGGTCCTTGACTTCTCGGGTAAAAGTTCTAACTCAGGGGGCTGTCCTTGGGTGTGGTGGCTGGCTCGGGTTTTGGGCTCCCTGATGGGGATCCGTTCTCCGGGACTTAAAAGATTGAGCCCGACAGATCTTCTGAGGGGTACCTTTCACTGGCATAAAATGTGGTACCCCACAGCTCCACCAAAATGTCACAAGTGACAATTGATGAGGCGACGAAAATTGAAACAAACTAAACATTTAATGGGGCGAACTTGTGCCCAAAACAAAATAGAAAAAGGCTAGCGTCGCAAGCGTCAATGGCGGCATGAGAGCAGGATGAGGCGCTGGGGCGAGTCTGACTCCAGCGCGCCACGCGGAGCCCCTTACTGTAGAAGCGTGGGCTTCTGGATCAATCAGCGTAAACAGTTCGGCGCATAGATCATTTCTACCTCTATCAGACGACAAAATTCTCGAACATACGAGAACGCTAAATTGAAAGAATAAATAAAAGACGTGCCGCTCCCACGAATCAAACCCTGGGCCTCCGCACTACAGCCAAGCATGGTAACCACTCAGCCACGCACGCACTCGCTTGCTCGGTGACGCGCGGGGCTTGACTGATGAGACAGGGCTTTGTGGATCCCTAGGATGCCATCCCACTTGAGAACCACTGCACTAGACTATCTATCTGTAGTGTAAACACCACCACAATTTTGTGTTTATAAAACAGTTTGAAACGAAAAACTTACCAAGACTTGAGGACTGTATCGGTTCCATTCTAGTTGCTGTCTGCCGTCAGGTTCGTATGGACGCTCAAAAGATCATGAACGATGGATGGGACCACTCATGATGCCTACGATTAAACGAAAAGAGCTATGACAGAAATTAAGAACAAAGCGAGCACTGCCCCCAACTGCATCAAGCTAACAAAACAGCTCAGAATAACACACACGAAACTCGCCCAGAATTTTGAAATTTCGAGATTATAATAACAAATGGTTGAGGAAATAAATACAGTGCCTGTGTGTTTAGTAATGGGTGGTAGCTTGTGTGTTAGTAATGACCGGATCCAAGCAGCTCAGCTATATTCAGCTCACTTGCAATGGCAATAAAAGCTCGCATTGAGTCTCGGGAGGAAAATGCAGGCGAACACCCGGTCAGTCTTCGGTACCACCTCTTACCGCCACCAATGAGACTAAAGGACGCCATGTTCTCAGCTGTTCAATCGCTCCTGCAGCGAGTGCCTTCCCATAATACTCCACATTCCCAAATGAATGCGTATTTGCCGTTTCGATCCCCTGACCTCTTTCCGGTGGCTTGAGTGTAATGTGCTTCCCTAACATTATGCCAGACGAAGAATGCATGCTTTTCAGCTCTTTTCTTTTTTTTCATAGCGTCTGTGAGTAACGCCAGGCAGCATAAATACGCAAAATCAAACTGCGACCTAAACATATTCTATTGGCTCGTCAGGGGCGTTGCTGAAAACTTGACAGCTACAGGCCTATAGCATCTCGACGTAGTCTGCAGCAAAGCACTGTAGAAACGCAGCCAAATTTTTTAATTTGTACTCTTTTGGAAAGTTCCAGCCAATTCTCGGCTGCCATCGTCTGTTCTGAATCGCAACATTCCTTTACGCAACGCCGTATAAAAGCCGCGGTAATTCGCTGTGCCCAAAGTTGTTACTTCTAATTTCAATACGTGAACCTGACCACGAAAATGATTCAACTTGAAAACAGGTTACTGCTTAAATTTGAACGAATTTCTCATTTTTGGCCCGCTGTTTAGGGCATAAAATGCTGCACCCGCATTACTGGCCCAGCTCTCACGAGCAGCAGAAAATATACATGCCTTGCAAGTGACGTCATGCTAGGGAAGAACGGGGCCTCGCACCATACTGGTGGTTGACTTCACACCGTGTAGTTGCGCTTACCAAGGCCTAGGATGCCGCTAAGTGCCCAAACATGCGCTGACATGCACCATATTGTCAACAAAGGTACCAGTTATGTTACATGTGAACTTGGAAAAACGTACCGAGCTTACGATGATGACGTTTAGCCAGTACGTGCAGAAGCTTTCGGCATAGGCGCAATCGCGCTACGAGCAGAACGTTTCGATATGCCGTCGACGCAGCTTTAAAACATAAAAACTGTCGTGTCGCAAAAAAAAAAAAAAAAGAAAGAAAGAAAAGCTGAATTGCAGGCTTCAACATTTGACGAGCGGCTCTAGGAGTCGCTTGTGGAATAATTGTTACGATTTTGCGAAATACTGGTAAACAACGCAAGGCTACTGTCATAATCTAAACCCTGAGACAAGGACAAACCAAATAATGGAGGGTTTATATTATGATGCTTCCTAACTGGCTCGCCTGCATACTTTCGCTCCTTGCTAAGATTACAGTGATGTGATTGGCCTAAGCCATTTTGGAGCACCTTTCGGAGCAGCCAAAACAGTGTTTTGGAGCAGCAAAAGTGGCTTTTGGAGCAACCAATACAGTGTTTTGGAGCAGCCAATACAGTGTTTCGGAACAGCAAAAGTGGCTTTTGGAGCAGATGTTCTTTGAAAAATAAAAATATTTGTTTTTAGTGCTGTACATACGAAGGGCACTTTGTCATGCGTTGTGTTCTGATGTGGCGTGTTGTGACGGAACTCGCTGCTTGTGTTTTTACTGCTGAGACATCCCACAAGTGTACAGTGCTGTAGGCAGTGCTGAGCAATTTAGAAAAACCGCTTGCCACTGTTTGACTGGTTCCCGACGTGCCAGATTTTCTTCAAAAGTAAGCAAACGTAAAACAATGGATTGCAAGCGTCGCGGCTGGTGCTTCTGCCGTGCAATCATGTTCGCGTGCACGTGAGGCCAACTTCGGCAGGCTTGCAGTTGCGCGTGCTTCGTCGTGCGAGCTGAGACAACGGCTGTTCGATCGAAACCGAAACCATGTCACTTCGCTCTGTCGCCAGCTGATCCCCAAAATTGTATGCAAGATGTAACTGTCGAGCATACGTCAATAAACAGTCCAGTGGCGTGCGCTTGCCAGGCCGGCAAACAAGGTATAAGCTAAACATATAAAAAGAAAAGGGGGAAAAAACACCTGAGCTATCGATGCAAGACATCGCGAGCCAGGGTCAAAAAGTTCTTGGAGCGCTTTGTGCAGCGACTGAACTCGAGACAAACAAGCGCACAGTGCAGGTTCAGCGTGCAGACATTGCCTTCTTTGCTTTAGCTAACTTCTTTTCATCAACCCTCTTTCGCAGCAGGTTTTTCACATACCAGGGTCCCCCCCTCGAAAGAAAGCCCACCTAGAGAAACCTAGGCAATCCATACTTTCACACAGCAGTCTTTGAGTTAAAGAGGGACTTTTGTAGTAACGTACGATTTAAACAAGACCAGGAATGTTGAATATGCAGCGGTACTTAGTTTCATTTTAGAAAGCGCCATATCTGCAGCTTCGAGGGTATGGCAAGACCCAACGTCGCGCGACCACGGTGACGGGAAGGCAGGGACCAAATATAGCTTTCCCACGGCCGTTGCTTTCAGGAGAGAGTGCTTCAGCTCACAAAGTAACTCCTGCCGCACAAAAATGTGGTTTTGTTTCACAGCATGACGGCATGGCTGGTACCTGGCACGCTAGCGTCGGAGCATCTGCACACAACCGCGTCTATCACAGGAAAAAAAAAAGGCGCGAGACGAGATTTACGAGACGAAACGCGAGACGGCGAGAAAACCATGCAAGACCGGATGGACGATTAATGCAGGGTACTTAGTGTCGGGCTCGATTGCTCATGCACATGCTCAATTACGGTACTCAGTTTGGTTTCGGTTTTGAAAGGCGACCGAAAATAGTCCTTTGGCGTAGGCTTGGCGCAGATTACCCCTATTTTGGCAACATGTAGCAGGATGTAGCAGTGTTAGCCCCTTGGAGCAGTTTGGCGCAATTGGCGCAGCAATTACATCACAGAGATTACCGTTCTCGCAGATGGCACAAACCGATGCCTCGCGAAGGCGGCAGCGTCTCGGCGAGCTTGCACACGGGGGCCGCCGCCAACTGATCGCCGTCTGGCCGGGCTCGCTTCGCGACAATCGCCCGTACTCGGCCCGGGAGCCCCCAAGGCACGCTCGAAACATGGAAACGGCGTTGTGTAACGAAATACAAAGGCCATCTACACCACGAACGGGCAACAGCGGATGCAAAGGCATGCGTGAACGTAAACAACGGTAGAAAAGTGCCGTCGCTCGCCGTTACGAAATGCGTCCCGCAAACTCGGTAATCCGCGGCTGCATTTCCTCCCTGCCGCTCATACTTTCGCTAACTTCATGGCTACTCTGTCTCGCGAGGCTTGCCGACGAAACGATCGAACGATCGTCAGGATAAGCAGTAATTGCTACAGCCGAGCGCAGCGCAGTTTACCATTGCTCTCGCTGCGAGGGGCTGTCGAGTCAACCACCAGCATGGTGGATACCGGTATTTGACGTCATCATGTGACGTAGGTGCAAGGCATGTATACATTATACCAAGGAGCTTAGAAGTACTAGGAGGGGGCACGTTGCAATATTGGTGAAGCCTAGTCATACAAAGTTTAAACGATGTTGTGGCCAACGTGACCATAAATCTCTCCGGCAATTGGTGCGCGTGACATGTCACGTGTGAGATGGATGGTTGATTATAGAAAGATTTCTAGCAGGATTGCGCGCGCTCCGTCCGGTAGGTTTTATCAGATCGAAGGCTAGGCTGTGGTGTATTCTAGTACTCTATAGCTAAACGAAGGCTAGCTACGGTCCTGTGATGTGGTCACGTTGGCCTGATAGGTGAGGAGAGTAAGGAGGAAAATGAGAAAGAGGCGAGGCGTCAAGGGAGCATAGCTCGTGGAGGCTACGCGGCTGGCGTCATGGCCTCTCCTACCCTTCTAGCCTTCTTGCATTCTACGATGCACTCGTAAAAACTGAACGTATGGTTCAATCTTCATTGATGAGTCTTCGTGTCAACACAGAAGACGACTTCCTCCGATATTTGCCGTTCGCCTTTACCTCCCAAGGCATCCGGAGGTGCGCATGCGAAGCTCGCCGGATCCGCATTTGTGCTACTCTTTGCGTGCGCGTTAAAGATGTGCTAACAACAGCAACTACCTGTTTGGTGAATGAGAAGTCCAGAAGCCTTTGAAAGAGGTACTGACTCCAACTCCACCCACGGTAAGCAGCAGTTGCATCGAAAAGAAGTAGTCACAGCTGGTCACAGCAGTCCGGTGGTTATTCGCAGATTTGGCAGATGTGCATTCGTAAATGAATAATGGAGAAGCGAATGCAGCTCATCTGAAATGGGCGTAGTGTGGCGCCAGTAAATCACGGTGCTATGAAGTAATTTAATAAGTAAAACAAATACTCTGTGGCCACTTGATTTTATTTTATGTTTGCTACATTTCCGAAAATTACTGATGCACCCGGTGAGACAATACATACGAGGTTTTTATTTTTTTTAAGACCGTAGAGTTTAGTATTTCTAAGTAGTTTTTTTGTAATACACTGTATCCAACACTGGTAAATTATAATAAATATATATATAATTATATTTATAGACCTTTTTTTCAAATCAAAGCACCCCTGGTGGCACAAAATGAATTCTGGGTACCAGTTGCCATTAGTTTTGGTTTCAGTTTGATTTTCTCATGATTATCGTGTCATGAAGGAACACGCTGCTTGTATTGTCATTGCTGCGACTTCCTACAAGTGCACAATACTGTAAGCGTTGCCAAGAGATACAGAAAAAAAAAAACACTAGGCATTGTTTTTGTTTCCGATGTGCCGGATTTTAAAGGTGAGCAAATGCAGAACAAAAAAAAAAAAAAAGTCAAATTTAGGGGTTTTACGTGCCAAACCTACGACGGGCACCTGGCACTCCCCAGCGGAGGACTGAGGATTAATTTTGACCACCTGGGGATCTTTTGACGTGCAACCGAAAGCTCGGTTACACGGCGCCTTCTCCGCAATAAACCTCCGTCATATTGCGAGCAAATGCAGAACGATGGATTGCAACGTCCCTGGTGCCCCTGTGGTGCAAGCACGCTCGCTTGCGCGTAAAGGAGAGTTATGCAGGTTTGAAAGTTCACGTGCTTGGCTGCAGGAGTACAGACTGCGGCTGTCTGGTCAAAACCATTTCAGGCGAAAATTTCTAACTGGGGCCAGTTGGCATCTCAACCGGTTTCAACTGGGACTACCTGGTGGGACCAGCTGAGGGGTGGAGTAAATAAAGTGGGACCAGTTGAGGAAGTAACTGGCTGGAGGGATTCCCAGTCGGACTTCAAAAGGTTTTCCCATTCCCAGTTCACATGGTTCATTGATCTCTGCTAATGAACAAAGTTGAAAATTTACATTGATAGATTAATATAAGGAAACTTTTAAATACTAAACACATTTATGTATTTATAAAGAAAATTGGAAAACGTAACTAGCGGCATAAAATGTGTTTACCTAATTCAATATTTATGTACACATATAAAAATGTATTAAAGATTTATTTAAATACCTACATTTTACATTTAAATATTACATTTAACTACCTACACGTCCGCAGCAGTCAGAGACTTTCCTCAAAAAGAGCGCATCCCTCGGTTCGATGGGCTCTTATGTGCTTCACAGGAGCAGGGGAACAGGGGAGCCGCCCTTTTAAACTGCTGACACAATCTGCCACAGGTGAACACTTGGGGGTGGTCAAGCGTCCGCAATTTATGAGTTTTCAAACACATAATTTAAAAAAAAAGTTTTAGATGAGATTGCATTGTGGAAAAAAGCCACAATCACCCATATATTATTCCCTTGCAAGGTTTATTATTTTTATTTAACGATTTGTTTTGGGTGCAAGTGCACTCTCTGGTAGGGAGGTTTTGATTTGATTATTTTCTTGCATGAATGCCAATGACTGGGACCAGGGCCGTACCCAGAAAAAAATTTCGGGGGGGGGGGGGGGGTTTCGAGGACAACGGCGGCCATTTTGTCTTATTTTCACCTATGAATCATGTGCATCGGTGGCATATAATACAGAGTTATAGCAAACCGAAGAACCGGTCCCGGTTTGGTACTTGGTGCCGACCGGTGCCACTGCGCGTGCGCAGAGGTGGAGATTAAAATCGGCTGGCTGCAAGTGCACCGACCAGGGCCGTACCCAGAAAAAAATTTCGGGGGGGGGGGGGGGGGTCACAACCCCCTAACCCCCCCCCCCCCCCCCCCCCCTCCTGGTTACGGCCCTGACTGGGACTCTGCCATCGGATTTCGTACATGCATGTCACTTCCAACAAGTTAGGTAATCATCTACAAGCTGCAGTATTTTGAAGACAATAACAACACATACAGGAGACGCTGTTCTTTGCATAATTACAACCACAGTTCATGAATTCTAGTGAAGAGCACCAAGAAGTGCAATTCTGACGCTCAGGCACAAGTGCACTGTGCAACAAAATATGGCAGTCACATACAATGATGGTTGAAAAGGATGATGTTTCATTTAACAATCCATAATTACAAAGTATTGCAGAGGAGTAAGAGTGCAATGAAGGTGGTTCAAATTTCCTCGACTCCCAAGTCTCCTTTTCATACCTTCTGTCATGGCAGCAGCATATTGACATGCATTACACAGCAGTAGTAAAAGCATGTCACCTCACACCCAAACCTCCTGGAAGGCAGAAATTGGGCCATTGTTACCACCGGTAGCACAAACTGCCACTCCTGCGGTGTGCACGTCCACTTGGTAGCTATTTTGTTGGCAACGATACTGTTAAAGTGAGGTCCCAGCATGGCACAGGATGGCAAACTAGAATCTTGCTAAAGAGCTAATCTGCCAGTAGCACATTTACTTCCCCTAAGAACTGCAACGGCTAGAAGAATATATATATATATATATATATATATATATATATATATATATATATATATATATATATAGATAAAACACTGTGGAAGCTGGAATTTCCAACATTTATTTCAGAGAAACAGCAAAAAAAAAAAAGTCTGATTCCATATTTATCATTCGCAGATTTTGTTCGAGGCAAGCGAGGTGAGCCTAATAAACAATCAAACCAAACTGGAGCTCTTTTTACAAATATATTATAAAAGCCAAGAATGAGCACACATTAAAAAAAAAAAAAAAAAAAACACATTGTATTCTGTAACCCAAGCAAAATCATGGCTGAATTTGTATTCTTTGAGATTTAGCTGCTCTGATCCATCTAGTTCTGTTACAAAAAATATCACAATGTTTGCCATTAGAGAAGCATAGAAACAAACTACTATCCTGCTTAATACAAAAAGAGCAAAACGCATCGCCTGATGTACCCTGATGCCTATGGTCCAAGACCTTTGACAAAAGGGGACAGGCAACACGGAAACAACTCTTGGGAACAAAAACACAGAGCAGCAAAATTTAGCGAGCACCGAAACACTACAGTGGGTGATCTCAAAGCAGCTGTCGTATAAATACATAATTACGAAAATTTCATTACAGACAAGAGTGGTGGAAACACATTAGGTATGAGTGTGTTAAAGTAAGTTCCAAGATCTCTACAACAGTCTTGAAAATACATTACATGGTATTAAAAACATCCACATTGGTACAATGTAATTTATTGAGAAATCTGCTCGGTGGTGTGAGAATTCAACTATACCCCGTTTCACGATAACTTGGCGAACTGTGGAGGCCACGGCTCCCTCAACCCAATAGCGTCGGAGCCAGGCACCTGACATCACATCACGGGAGCATGTGTGTCACTGCACCAAGGAACCGGCTGTCAACTGCTGGCAGAGAGTCGTTTGCTGAGAGACCAATCAACTTCGTTCGAACGTCCACCACTGCAACATTGCCGTCCGCTAGAGCAGCGAGCTCTTCAGGAACAGTTCATGAGACAACCATACTCAATTTACCCGTCAATCTGTGGCAGCCACTAGCGCCAAAGCGACGTGTTGAGCGGAAGCGATCGATTACATTTCTGCGATTCCCAACAACCGCAACGCTATAAGGAGAAAAAAAAAAGGAAGAAGCAAATACATTAATGTGGTGTCAATTAGAAGAATATATATTTGAAATTCACAATTCGTCCTTATTTATTCCTTATTTCTTATATGTTCTCGATAGACATGGAATCGCGTGAGTTCAGTTGCGTTTAAAGGGATGCTGAACCGAAATCTGGATTCCCCAGAACACGCGGCCAAAAGCGTGCAACGGGATGCTACAAACACCAAAACATCACTCATACAGCGATATTTCGAACGGATGACCGTATTTTTTCAAAAAAAGAGGCGCAATTGGCAGGAATGTTGACATAATGTTTCTCCGAGATGGAGAGGGAACGGCCTCGCGTCTTCACCGCCTCGGCCTTGAGGGAGCGAAGCGAAGAGAGGAGAAAGCTAGGTATCTTGACGGGTAACGCGCCTCGTCGGCCTGGTTCGATCTCGGCTTCTTTTTCCAAAAATACGGTCGTCCATTTGAGATACCGCCTTACTAGTAGTGTTGTAGGGATTGTAGCGTCCCGCCTACATCTCCAGCATTGTTTTTTTTTTTTTTTTTAAATCCAAATTTCGGTTCACCATCCCTTCAAAGAAAAAGAAACCTAGAACTACTTTTTGTCGCGGATGACGCTGTTGCTGTGGCGGTAGCGAGGCCTCCGTGGCCTCGAACATGGAGTGTTATAATGCGATTTGCTCCGACACTCTTATTGGGTTGCGGGGGCCACAGCCTCCACAGTTCGCCAAGTTATCGTGAAACGGAGAACAGCAATGCCCCATTTGTGCTGCAGTGCATGCACACAGTCGTCAATCAATTGCCCGCTGAGGTAACTACTCATATGAGAAAGCATGTGGTATAAGATGTCAAAATCCCGAAACCTTAAAAATTACTCCACACACACAACAAAATCGAAACCTTAAAAATTACTCCGCACATTGGCATTCCATCACCGCCGCTAGCACCATATTCTCGTGGAGGTCGAGCTTTCTACACTCTAAAACCGGTCTCTCATAAAAAACGCTGTCCCTCTGATTTTAGAGGGGACAACAATGCTTTCAGGGGGACAGCTCTTTTTAAGAGGGAAATTGCAAAATAAAATAGCCAGATTTAGAGGGACACCAACATATTAAGAGAGACCAAGGAAACCGTTTCGTTAGTCCCTCTGAACAGGAAAGACAGACAGAAAGATTCACGCGTCTCCCTTCATATTAAAGGGGCCCTGCAAGGACTTTTTACTGTTTTTTAGTTTGCACCGAACCTGAGCGTACTGAACGTAGTAACTTAGTGAAACTTTTCTTTT